TAGGAACCAGCAGATGGCATAATGGTTATATCAGTGGGTTCCCAAGTAGTCAACCTTGGTTTGAGTCCTGAAATAGGTGGCTTAAAATTCATGTCAGGTGTGTGTGTGTGCATGTCCAAAAGAGAAGAATGGAGAAGAAGGGATTGCAGCATGGCCATCCCTTCTGGGGGGTGATTTCTCGCTTTCTGTTTCTCTGTCTCTGTGGTGAGTACATGCATCCTATAGCAAAAATTTATCTACATAAGCAAACAAATAAATAAATAAATTAGAATAAATAGAGAAAGAAAGAAAAGAACTAAAACCTACATTTTGCAAAGAACACAAAAAATTAAGGTATAGGCTATTACAGGCAATATTTCCTTGAACCGTGAATGCTATGTCCATGAGTTTATATACTTAGAGCATGATATAACATTTTCATGTTTGTAAAAATAAATAAATAAGGGGGTCGGCAGTTGGTGTGGTGGTTAAGGTGCTGAATGAACTCCCACATAGCCAACCATAGTTCAAGTCCTGAACCTGGCTGCTTCCTTTCACACTCTCCCTCTCTTTCTCTCTGGTCAAATTGAATAATAATAATAATAAATAAATATGTAATTCTTTTCTTTTCCTTTTTTCTTTTTTTCTATAGGGCACATGTCCTTACCAGAAAGACAGAGAGAGACAGAGAGACAGAAAGCGAGAAATCACCCCCCTGGGGGATGGCCATGCCACAGTCCCTTCCCCTCCATTATCCTTTCGGGATCTTGGGCATGCACACACACACGTGCTCGGCGTGAATCACTGGGTCCAGGACTTGAAACGCAGTAGACTACATGGGAGTCCAGCAGCATAGCCATTATGCCAACTGCTGGTCCCAATAAATATGTAATTCTTAAAAAATCAAAATAAAATAAATGTATGTGATAATCTATGAAGACTCGATCTGTAATCCTATGCGCCCTATTCTAATTTGGTCGAATGTATTTGTGGAAACTTTTGCCCATAGGGATTTGAGAACCTTTGCTATTTCTTTGATAATTTCTCAAATCATATATTACATAAGTCATGTAATGTCCATATGAGAAATAATTTGATCACATATAGTGTAGAAGTTGTAGTAAATCTTATCTGGAAGTAGAACCTTCCTATTAAACTGATAGATACTATATTACAAGGAATAACTGAGTTACAGGTTAGGATTTGGGAAAATATTTAGGATTGTTAGAAATCTCATTATTTGGTCTTAATAAACCAGTACAGTAGAGTTCATTTTAGTGAGGTCTCTATAACTTACTCTCAAATTGTCTTTTTTGTTTTTCTTTTCTCCAGAATCAGGCACAACCAGTCTTATTTACTCTATTTTTTCTTATTAAACTTTCTAATTCAAGTTTTTAAATTATTATAGATTATACATTCCTTATGTCAACCTGTAAAGGCAGATTCTCTGTCAAAAGAGCAACATAAGTTCTTTACTGCTTTATTGTTCTCATACATACAGCATTATCATTAACAATATCATTGTTGCTCTTTTATTGAATGTTGATATAAATAAAACTTATGCGTTTAATTTTCCCTTTTTCCTCACTTCTTCCTTTTTAAAATTATTTTATTTATTATTATTATCTATTGTAAAATTTGTTTTAGGGCATGTGTACCCACCAGAGAAAGAAAGAGAGGGAAAGTGAGAAAGCAAGCTGCCAACGACCAGCAGGTGGTGTGGTGGTTAAGGCGCTGGACACTCCCACATGGCTGACCAGGGTTTAAGTCCTGAATCTGATGACTTGCTTTCTCACTTCCTCTCTCTCTCACTCTCACCCTCTGTCTCTCTCTGGTCAAATTAAAAAATAAATGAATGAATAAATAAAATAAAATAAAATAAATAATTATTAAAAATTATTGAAAAAAAAAGAAAGAAAGAAAGCTGCCAGGTCCAGGACTTGAACCACGGTTAGTCATGTGGGAGTCCAGTGCCCTACTACCACGCCACCTGCTAGGCCCCCTTGTTTCTAAAAAGAATCTCATTGTATAAATTCCTTCGAGGATTGAGATCTGGGAAAATTTTACTTATATTTTAGATTTTATAAGCTACAAGGGATCTTTAAAAAGTTATGTGGGGGCTGACTTATGACTGGGTGGTGACCTGTGGTTTGAGTTCTACGCCTGGCAGCTTGGGAAAGCATGCTGTGATGGGTGAATGTGTGCCCAGATTAATGACAGATTGGAGAAGGCAGAGAAGTAGAGAAGGGGTTGTGGCATGACAGCCCCCCACCAGGAGGGGGATGACTTCTCTCTCTCTCTCTCTGGCTCACTCTGGTGAGCACACATGACCTCTAGGAAAGATTTTTAAAATAATAACAAGTTCATGGAAAATGCAAATTATGAAAGGACTACGCATAGATTTCATATATACTGTGGGCACCAAAATAAACCCATGCTTTATTTCTCTTAGAATTTTTTGAAGTATCTTCCTATGTAAAAATACTTTTTTGGGGGACCAGTAGGTGGCATGGAGGTTAAGGCAGCTAGATCCCACCCACATGGACAAGCAGTTTGAGTCCTGGATATGGTGGCTTGAAAATCATATGGGGTACATTTGCATGCATGCTCCAAATCCCAAAAGGAGAATAGAGAAGAAGGGATTGCAGCATCTAGGAGGTGATTTCTCCCTCTTTCTCTCCCTCTCTCTTTTTCCCCAATGAGTGTGCACATCCTATAGCAAACTAAAGGAAAAAAAAAAAAAAAAACCTTTTATTTTGACTAATAGGTAGCTGAGAACTAAATATCATGCTAAAACTTAAGTAGCCTCTCATAATCAAGGTTTCATTATCACAGTTGCCCCCCTCTGTATTACTTATATATTATTAATAATTTTACAATTAATAGCTTTCTAGTTTGTTGTATGCATTCTAAAATAATTAAATAGGATAAAGAGACTAAGTAAATAAAACATGAAGCCCATGAATAGAATAAAAAATAAAACTAAAGAGTGGCTTTTTTAGATGTGTAAGATTTTACTTTAAAAATTTCAGAAAACATGCTTTTTTTGTGGAGGGGAGAGGTTTTTGCTATAGGGTGCATGAGCTCACCAGAAAGATAGAAAGTGAGAAATCACCCCCCGGGGGCATGGCCACACCGCAATCCCTTCTCCTCCATTCTCCTCTTGGGATCTTGGGCATGCACGCACACGCGCACAGCGTGAGTTTAAGCCATGGGGTCCAGGATTCGAACCGCAGTCAACTACATGGAAGTCCAGTGACATAGCCATTACACCATCTGCTGGTCCCCAGAGAACATGCTTTTTAACCAGGCTTTTTAAAGATGTTTTACTTTCAGTGCATGCTTATTCATTTTTTAATTTTATTTTTACTTTATTTATTTATTTATTTATTTATTTATTTATTTATTTATTTATATTTAACCAGAGAGGGACAGAGAGAAAGAGAGAGAGAGAGAGAAGGAGAGGGAGAGAAAGTGAGAAAGCAAGCCATCAGGTCTGGGTCTTGAACTGCGGTCAGCCATGTATGAGTCAAACACCCTTAACCACCACGCCACCTGCTGGCCCCTTTCAGTGCATTTTTAAACTGATACTCTTTAGCTGAAATATCCAGACTTTTAAAAAAATGATAAAATATTATCAGAATCTATTTGATCCTGAAAAAAAATTACCTCAAAAAACTCATAGTCATTATTATAGCTGTTATAAATAATTTTTTAAAATTCTACATTGTGGAACATTTTTACAAACATTACCTTATTAGATATTTCCACAACTCTTTGGCAGAATACAGGTTATTTATTTCGGCTTTTTTAATGAAGAAACTAAGCCTGAGAAGTGGTGAGTGACAAAAATCAATCTTCTGCTTTTTAGCCTGCTGATTTTTTTATTCTATTAACTCTCTTCAAAAGGTAACATTCTTACTGCCAAAGATTGGAGTCATTAGCATATTTTAAAACAAAAATTTCTGTTGCTATTCTACTAAATCAACTTCAGACTTTATCTTTTATCCCTCCAGAAGGTAACCATCGATGTATGTGAATTTATTCACTTATTTAACAAAATATATTGAGTACCTACTTTGTGATAAATCTGTTAGAAAGAGGAACAATAAATATAATTTTAAAAAAAAGTCTGTTCTCATGGAATTTGTATTTCATGAAAGAGAATGATTAATTAAATGGAAAATTAGTAAAATCATGTCAATTTTGAAAGAAACAAGCTAGAGGCTGCCATCGAGAAATGGAGTAGGGGGCAAAGATGAGAGTGAGGGAAATTGGGACCAGAACAGTGCTCTCTGCAAGGTGTCACTCAAGCTTGAACCTGAAGAAGGACGAGGTACTCATGGGACAAATCTCTGAGTGGAGAGAACGCCACATACAAAGATGCTGACTGACAGTAGGGATAAGCTTCGTTTGCACTGGGCTGTGAACATCCGTGTAGGTGGAGCATAGAGAATGGGAGGCTGGACTGGATAGAGAGGCGAAGGCTATTGTGCGTAGTACATGGCTGGCTATGGTGAAGACTGAAGGTAGACCTGGGGAAAACTTAGTGCTAAATGCAGGAAACATTTTTTAGATCTCAGATTTTAAAAGTGTTTTTAAAGATTACACTTGAATTGTGAATTCATTTTTCTATATTAAATTCTTTTCAGTGTTTTATGTCCATTAAGTTTCAATTATACACGTCATAATTTCTTTAGATCCTTTTGATGAATTCCTTCTGTAGCTCTAAAGATAGGAAAGGAAGTGAAATAATATAGTATTAGTTAGCGTTGAACTAGAAGGAGGGATGGTATTATGGCTTTAAGGAGGCATATTGATTTTCTAGAGGTTATAGTTTTCTTTCCTTTTCTGTGAACATTATCATGTAAACACTCAAAAGGATATTATTCTTTGTTATTACTCAGTTCAGAACACTAACATTTTTTTCTAAAAGTACATCAGAAGGCCAAGTTAGGAAATGTAGTACATCTTCTTAAATCAAAAGTCTAAAACAAGATTTTCTTTTTCTTCCATATCAGGCATGTCCATTTGTCATCGATATCTATGCGGAAAAATGTAAGCCAAGAATTAAAGCTGTCCATATGGAGGCATGCAGTGGGCAACTTGAGAAGGCCATTTGTAAATCTGTCCTTAACAAGGGCGATGCCAAAGTAATGGATGGCTATGAAAATATAATTGTACACACTCATAATCGTGACACCTGGATAACGTCAGTTATTGAAAACAAGGTATCAGTTATGAGATGGTTCTCCTGGTTTCGCTACGAAGCTTACTAATACGTTACATCATCTTTATTACTCTATTTTTACATCGTCATAAATGTCCCATCACATTAATAATGTTTATAATCAAAAGTCATTATTTCTCTTCAGGTTTCCAACTCAAACTGGGCATGATCATTTTAATGTGACTTTTTCTTTAAAAGGCTTGAAATCATTGTTTTTTTCCTAAGGTATTATGAAAGTTAAATATTTGGAGATCAGTGAAGGTAGAGCAAAATCTGGATACAAAGTGTTTTATTTCATTTATTACTAAAAGGCTGCGTGTATACAGTTATTTCAAACAATAGACATTGTATTTTAAATAAATATTATAAGTAATAAATTTAGCCCAACTTTTCCAACTACTTTGCAATGAGAGAGTCTATAAATTGTCAACATTTTATGTAACTAAATGAACTCTGCTGTCCAGGACCTACTTTTATCAAGCTAACTTTTTTTAGCTTTGGCCATTTTCCCTGCTACTATGCATATTACAGGTCAAGAGGATACATGTGTAAATTCTTAAAGTCAGATATACCCATTTCTCAGAAATTATAAATTTTCATGAATGCTTGCACAAAATGGCTGGGTGCTTAGTGCTGTTGGCATATTTCTTTTAGTTTCTGGGCAAGACATTATTTTTATTCCTGCTATAAATTTCTTAAAGTACTTAAAGTATGGCTGAGTTTTGAGAGTTTTGAGTCAGTGTGATTACATATTATGTAACTAACATTTTTAGTCACAGTAGGGGCCACCAGACAGTGTAATACATGGTCTTTACTTCCACTGAGTTTATGAACTAGTTGGAAAGATAAAAATCAGTACTCTCAAATGAGATCAGAGAATAATTAAATGTTAAATAATATAGTACTATTTATGTGTATAATAGGAGTTTTATTCTGATTCTTTTGAGCTGTTAATCTGGACTATAGAAATCAGGAAAAGATGTGTGATGAGAGGGAAGGATACTGTGGTGTAGGATGTGAACATTGAAGAGTGACTTGGATTTAGATATGTAGACACAGCCTTTAGAAGCAGGGTAACAATGAAAGGAGAGACATGGGGGAGGGTCTCTACAGAGTACTGAACAAAGGGTGAGAATATCTTTTGCAGAGGAGGAATATTAGAATAACTTTGTTTGGAGGAATATTAGGAAAGTAAATAATCTAGATAGAATGTATCTAGGTAATATACCTTCCTTGAAAAACAAAACAGAATTTAGACTTGATCTTCAAATGTAGACAGTGATCTTCAAATGTACCATAGGACATTGGAGGGTTAGTCCTAAGATTCTGCATTTCTTTCTCTGCCCTCTGTTTTAAAGCTGAAAAAGTCTTCCTTGAAACCCAATCTGAGCTAATTGTGTTCATTTCCTCTTTCTGTAGATCCCTTTGAATACTTCTATTGTAAGACTTAGCAAAATATTTTGTAAATGTTATTTTATTTGTCCATCTCCCCTAGACAGTGAGCTGATTCATTGTAGTCAGGAATTGTGTATATATACATATACTATATATAATACACACACACATACACACACACACACACACACACACACACACACACATTTTTTGGAGAGATTTTTGAAATAGGGCATGTACCCTCACTAGAAAGACAGAGAGACAAAGACAGAAAGCAAGGAGTCACCCCACAATCCCTTTTCTACATTCTCCTTTTGGGATCTTGGGCATGCACACACACACACCCAGAGTGAGTTTTAACCTGCCTGAGCCCAGGACTTGAACTGAGTTTGAATACCTGGGAGTCCAGTGATATAACCATTACACCATCTGCTGGTCCCCAAGGGAATTGTATCTTTTATTTCATTGTCCCTAGGCCCTAAACTAGTGCCTGGCATAACACTTGATGCAAAATAAGTATAGGTTTATTGAATGAGTGAATGAGTAACACAATTAAAGGGATGTTTTAGGCATATTTGTTGAAAGGCAATATCAGATTGAATGGAGGGTAGAAAGATTAGAGATAAAATGAAAGAAATACAGACTACTGGTATGACAAGCCAAGGCTGAGATAGTGTCTAAAAGGCCTGGGAATGAAGATTAAAGGGGAAATCCAATTTGCATTTAGAAGAAAAAGTTTATATAATTGAGGGCAGGTTGGAAAGAGAATGAATTAAAGTCACAGACACAAAATTGAAAGAAAGAGCCAAGTTGTATGGATTTGTAGTGGTCTATATGATATTAAAATAGAATTTTAAGGCTTATTCTGGCATTGATATTTGTCTGTATTTTTAAAAGGACTAGCAACTTATGATATCTTTCTTATTTGTAGTCAGATAATAAAGTGATCATTCACATCAATAATGAACTAAGTAAAAACTGTGTAAACAACAGAGGACTCAACATATTTGCAGTAGAAGTGGCACCAAAATCTACCATGGTAATTCATTATTTTCTTTTTAAAATATTTTATTTAACTTTATTTATTATTATTATTCTCCAGTTTGATCAGACAGAGAGAGAGAAAGGGAAAGTGAGAAAGCAAGCTACCAGGTTCAGGACTTGAACTGTGGTTGTCATGGGGGAATCCAGTGCCTTTAACCATCACACTACCTGCTTGCCTCAGAAATACATTATTTTCTAATTAGAGCCTTTTAAAAGAAATTTTTGCTACTAACATTATGATAAACATATAGATATGAAATAAAGTGACAAATTATTTCAAGTATGATATGCATATCATTATTATTCTGTACTCAGAGACAGGAGACTTTGGTTCAAATCTAGTTCTGTTCCTGTTTGACTGAGTGACCATGGCAAGTTCACTTGACCTCTTTATCCCATTTATCCCACTGTAAATGCAAAATTAAGATAATATCCCTAGGGCCAGCAGGTGGCATGGTGGTTGAGGCACTGGACTCACATGTGGCCTATCACAGTTCGAGTCTTGGACCTATAGGCTTGCTTTCTCACTTTACTTCCCACCACTGTTCTTTATGCACATTCACACACACACCAACTAACAGCTACGATATGAGGGTAGGGTTCAGAGTGAACTGTCCTGTTAGACCTCAGATCATAGATTGCCAGTCCCTCCCAAGGACAAATACTATAGCATTTTATCTGCAAAGGGATATTTTTTACACAAGGCCTAGGAATATTGTTCTATTGAAAAACTATCCAAAAATAAAATTTGAGAAAAGAATAGTAAACGTTTTTCTATTTTCATATGCAGGTTTGTCAGCATGTGATGCCTCTGAATGAAAGACAAGAATGGATTTATTATTGTGTGTATTCCCTTATATCTTAAATAACTCTACTTGGAACTATGACAAAAAGAATTATTTCAGACTTAGTCTGTAATTTATTAATCAACTAAATGCTAATCAATTTATTGATGTATTTGAATAATTTGTTTCATTTATATGTATTTACATATTATGTTCATGCTATATACTTTATTATTACAATATAAATGATGTTTTTAATGTGTGGTCCTATTACTTTAGTGGAAATCTAAGCACAATTCACTTATGAATAGTAAGTCAAGATAAAATTACAGGTAAGTTTTGAAAATGTAATAGTCAATAAATTCTTCAAAATCCTGTACACTTTTGGTTTATCTTACTCATTTAAAAAATATGAAGATAGCCATTGAATTTTCTACTCAGAAAAATAAATAAAAATGTGGAGAGATCTGATTTTGTATCAAGAACCCAAAGTCTAATGACAATAGTAGTAGTATTTTGTCCTAACAGAAGTTTTTCTTTTTATGAATTTACTTGTAGATTGTTTTTAATTAAATGTGTTTTAAAATAATAGGAATTAAATCTATATAACACTTAAGCAATGTACAGGAAATGAAAATTTATAGTAAGAAATTCACAACTGTATGATAATATCCATAACAGAAAACTTGGCTAGCACACGTTAGCTTTTGAAATATGAATACCATTTTGGCAGTATATTATTTTTTCTACCCACTACATGTTAATACATAGTTTAAATATCATTTGAAAATTTGGCCCTTGATTTATGTATCTGTAAAATGGGTTGTTATAATCTAGAATTTTGAGTTCTTTAGATAGTGTGTCTTAAAAAGTGAAAAAATTTCATTAATTGCCAAATGCTTTGTGAATCCAATGAATGTGACCATACATTCTATTTCACAAGATGAGTTACAGGAAATAAATGATCTGGCTATGATAGTAAAAGCATATAATAAAGTTTTTATGTATGCCCCAAAATGTAAAAGGGCTCTTATAATAGGATGAAAAGTGACGTGAAGTGCTATCATTGGAAGCGGAGACTGAAGAGAAAGAATAATGAGCACATAAGCCTCACTGGCCCCACTGTCAGCACGTGCTCGCCAAGCCTTTGTCTGCCTTCCCATTACTCACTTATTAGAGGGAAAACAAACTAATGAAAACCATACCATCTGGTTTTTTTTTTTTTTTTTTTTCCTGGCATCTGGTTTTTTTTTTTTTTTTTTTCCTGGTAGAGGTTTTTGCCATATGACGCATGTGCTCACTGGAGAGAGACAGACAGACACAGTGAGAGAGAAAGTGAGAAATCACCCCCGGCGGGAATGGCCACACCACAATCTCTTCTCCTCCATTTTCCTCCAGAGATCTTGGGCATGCACACACGTGTGCATCATGAGTTTTAAGCCACTGAGTCTGGGACTTGAACCACGGTCAGCCACGTGGGAGTCCAACGACTTAGCCACTATGCCATATGCTGGCCCCAAACCACACTATTTTAATCATCTTCTTTTCCATTCATTTTCAGTTAGTCAGCGGGAAAGACAAAAGTATTTTGTTTCAAGTTAAACTTTCTTCCATGTAAATGAAAATCTGAAGATCAGCTATGTAATGAGTACAAACTAGGTTATATCTTTGGACCTTGAAGTAAATAACTTTTAAAGGATTTCTTAAGTACTGTGGTACTGAAATAGCCAGAAAGACTTCATTCTCGTCCTGAAATACTTCACTCCTATATTGGTAGTAACCTTCTTACTAAATATATTTAATTAACATTAGATAATTTTTTAAAATTTGAGATGTGCTTCCCCTTTTCAGAGTAGTTTTGCATACTGACCATGTTGTATTTTCATACTTAAAAGTAACTCTGTGTGATTTAATTTAAAAAGGCCAAGGACCCAGCTTACTAAGAAGACATCTTGATGCCCCAGGTTTCTCCCATGCTCTGGATTCCATCCTTTTCTGCCCATTCATTGTCCCCGTTGAAATCCTTATGAATGGGTTTTAGCTGCAAATATTCACTCAATATTGGCTTTCCCCCATTATTATTTATATATGTTCTAGAGTCTTTAAAAAGATCTCATTTCGTATCTCTATCATCTTTTTTCTGTCCTCTCCTTCACAGAGAAAGGACTCAACTTGTCCGCCTTTACTACTCCTACTTTCTTGACTCCCCCCCCCCCTTTTTTTTAAGAGGTTTTGTCCTTAGGGCGTGTGCTTGTGGAGGAGAGAGAGACAGAGACAGAGAAGTCAAAGGGAAAGTGAGAAATCACCCCTTAGGGAGGATGATCACGCTGCAGTCCCTTCTTCAATCTCTCCCAGGATCTTGGGCATGCATGCACACACATCAGGCATGATTTTTAAGCCACCGGGTCTAGGACTTGAACCGCTGTCAGCCATGTGGGAGTCCAGCAATGTAACCACTATGCCATCTTCTGGCCCAACTCCTTTTCATTCACTCCATTAACTCAATAAGCAGTGACTTCCTCCCAGGATATTAGTAACTTTCTTGTCATTAAATCTAGTCGATATTTTAAAGTCTTCTAATATTGGACACCATAGGTCTTTCTGGAATACCATACTATTCAGATTTTTCTTCTCACCTGTGACCGCTCATTCTCAGGTTTTTTTTCCACTCATCCTTTCTATAGTTTCTTCCAATTTCTGCATTCTCTTCACCTCAGCCCCTTTGCATGTAATGTTTCCTTCTTGCTTATAGAATGATTCTTCCTTCCCTCTTCTTCTTTCAGGTCTCAGTAAATACATTACCTTTCTCAAGAATTCTTTCCTGATTACTACTCCAACAAAAACGACTCTGGTGGTCCAAACACTTTGAATGTTCTCTCTATTGTACTCATCATACCATATTGGGGGTGCTGTTTATCACTCACCTTTAAAGAGGGTGAAAGCAGGGACAGTTATAACCACAGCATATGTCCTAGAAACTATAACAGATATGCAATAATATTGGTAGAATGATTGAATAAAATGAGTGGAAAGTTAATAAACTCAAGTGTAGTATGAACTTTTCCTAATTCTTTTTAAAATTATTTATAATAATTTTATTTATTATTATTCTTATTTTTAAATTTGCTTTAGGGCATGCATGTTCACCAGAGAGAGAGAGAAAGTGAGAAAGCAAGCCACCATGTCCAGGACTTGAACCATGGTCAACCATGTGTAATCTGGTACCTTAACCACTACACCATCTGTTGGTCCTGAACTTTTCCAGATTCTTAAGGATATTTACAAATTAGGACTGGAAGCATAAGCCCAGACAGTCTCATTACTATTCAGTTTTATTCATTCAGATTTTGTTTTTCAATTTGTTAATTAATGACAACAAAAAAATCGAAACAGATTTTCCACTGATTATCTAATACGTGGTTTAAAATTTGAAAGTAGGCTACATGATCAGCATTATTCCTTCCAGCTCTAAAATTATTCAATTCTGATATTTTAAAATCAGTTTAAATATTGAAGTATCAAATACTATCATGTCAGAAGCAATTCTTAAATTATTATGTTTAATAATTTTTTTGATTTCTTATTAGATATTGAAGTAGGGCTTTCTTTTCTTTGAAACCAGTGGCCCTTTTTTTTTTCAGATCTATTTTTGTATAGGTTAAATATGAAGCAGAAACTTAATATACCACACAAATCATACTTTGGCTACAACCCAGAAAAATGGAAATGTATTTCTGATTTTCACCACCAGAGGGTGAACATATTATTTTATTCATTACAGAGAGAGAGATTACTTTTCAGCACTGTGTGAAGTCCTTTATAACTTCTAAGACCGCTTTTGGCAAAAGGTATTGGACACTGCAGCTGCATGCATACTTAGGCACACATACCCATTCCTTTTAAAGAATATACAAGCATTATTTCCAACTTGTAAAGTGACTACTAACTCTTGTGCTCTTAGAAAGGCACTGAATTTCACTTTTTCATGAATCTGTAGGTATAAGGGCATGTAGAGATAGCCCTGGTAGCTTTATACAGTGTTATAAAGCCTATCTGTGCTACTCGGCCTGGCTTAATTTTGGGGTGGAAGACCGGAAGAACTACACAGTAATTTGAGGAAAAATAAGGCAATAGTGGAACTGATTAAGAGGAAGTAGGTGCAATTTATGTGAAGAGTATAGTAGACTGAGATACGGTATGAAGGATATCTCATCAGCATATATCTATGCATTAGTTTGCATTAGTTATTTTATTAAGAAGTGGTGGTCATGATCTCTGTCCCCAGAAAAAGAAAGAACTGAGGAAATGAGTTGTATGTTAGTCTGTTAGGGAATAATATTCTTAAATTAGTAAACACTGATCATTAAACTTTAAACTAGCGATGTGCGTATGGGAACAGAAGAGATGGGAAAAGCTTGCTTAATTTGGGGAAGGTAGGGGCAGAGGAGAATCTCTTGGAAGACTGATGGAATGAAGGAAGTATAGTTTGAAGTTAAGTAATGTTTTGATTTGGTTTTAGTCATGCAACATATTTTTAAGCTTAAATATTATAAAAGTGGGCCCTTTTTTTCGTTTTAGGCTTTTACCATAGGGCACATGTGCTGAACAGAGAGAGAAAAAGACAGAGAGAGGGAAAATGAGAAATCACTCCCAGGGCAGATGGCCACACCACAATACTCCATTCTCCTCTTGGGATTTTGTGCATGCACGCACACATGCCCAGCGTGATTTTCAAGCCGCCAGGTCTGGGATATGAACTGCGGCTGGCATGTGGGAGTCCAGCACCTTAATTACCACACCACTGGCTGGCACATTTTAATGATTATGAAAGTATAGGCTTTAAAATATTGAGAAGTACCACAGCAACGTGTTAGACTAAGTTTGATGGAGTAAGTTTGGACAAGTTGGAAAAATGACCTTTTGGAAGAAGAATCAAGAGGACCAGTTAGAACTTTGACTGACCTCGAAGGGAAGGAGGGACTTGAGAAGAGGGGAGAATATGGCAATTTCAGGTCTTTTCTCATGTTATTCACATTCCCTAGGATGTTCTATTCTCTGTCTACTAATATAAGCAGTAGGTCAGTTAATCATATATTTACTGAGTGCCTCGTATGTGCCCAACACTGCTTTAGTTACTGCTTAGACAGAGGTGAACCAGCCAGACCCCGTTCTTCTCCTCATTACACAGTCTATCAGAGAAGACAGATCGTGAACAAGTATTACAGGCTGTACCTCTAACATATATTTTTAAATGCCTCATTCTTCATGAAATCTTTGACCCGCTCTGCAACCCAGAAAAACCTGTTCCACTTCTTGAGTTTCTA